ATTGCTCATCAGGATGTGGGCAGCCAATCTCAACTCAGTTCTATGCATGCATCGACTGTAAGTTTTTCCTTCATAAATCATGTTCTGAGCTACCACTGAACATCACTCACCCCTTTCATGATAATCATCCTTTCACTCTTTTAGCCAGAGCACCAGACTCGGCTTCTTGTAATTTTTGTGGTAAGTTACTAGTCACCCAATTAGTTTACCACTGTTCTTCTTGTAAATTTGACCTTGACATCAAATGTGCCTTGCTCCCAGAATTCCTCAATGGAGAGTTTCCAAAAGTTGATCATCAAATTCATGTTGAACACCCACTCTTCTTCATCAAAAATCTTAGCCATGAAGTTAAACTAGCTTCTTCCCGCTATTGCAGTGTTTGCTTAGAACAGTTATCGAATGCTTCCTTTTACACTTGTGTTGTTTGCAAGCTTTTTCTTCATAAATCATGTTTTGAGACTGAGCTACCATTGAACATCAATCACCCTTTCCATGAGAAGCACACTCTTACTCTTACTCTTCTTAAAAGGGAGAGTGGGGCACTTTGTCAATTTTGTCAGAAGAGTCGTTATCCTGCGGGATTGTTTTACCATTGTTCTTCTTGTAATTTCAACCTTGACATCAAATGTGCCTTTCTCCCACAATTCCTCAATGGAAATTTCCCAAATCGTGATCATTATTTTAGTAATGTTGATGAACACCCACTCTTCTTCATTCAAAAGGACCTTATTAGCAGCAATAAAGTTGAACCACTATATTCTTATTGCTTTGTTTGCCCAGAATCGTTATCTGGTAGTTCTTTTTATTACTGCCCAGAATGTCAACTTTTCCTTCATAAATCATGTGTTTTTGAAGAGCTACCTTTGAAAATTAATCACTCTTTTCATGATAAACATGCTATTACACTAACCCGAAAAGGGAATAATGAAATAGCATGTAACTTTTGTCTTAATGTCACCAATGGATTAGTGTACAACTGTAGTTCTTGCGAGTTCTACCTTGACACCCGATGTGCTTTGCTCATCACCAAAGATCTCCCAAAACGTGATCGTCATTTTAGGCATGATGAACACCCACTCGTCTTCGTCAAAATGCTCAGCGACATAGCTAAAATAAATTCTTCCTGCTCTGTTTGCTCAAAACCATTATTGGGCACTTCTTTTTACAGTTGTCCTGATTGTCAATTTTTCTTTCACAAAGAATGTGAGGCAGAGTTGCCAACTAAGATTAGGCATTTTACTCACCCTCAACACCCTCTTATTCCTAAATTTTCCTTATGTACCTGCCAATTTTGCCAAGGTAAAAGTGATGGGAAAGAAATTGGATATCAATGTCCCTCTTGTGACTTTTATATTCATCGTAAGTGTACCTTACCCCGGTTTGTCCCAGAAAGTAAGATCCATGACCACGACCACCAGTTGATCCCACTCTTAAGGGAAAATCTCTTCATCATTTGCGATGCATGTGGGGGCTCAGGAGATTCTGCTGGCTATTTTTGTGTTGAATGCAATCTCATGGTCCATTGGGATTGTATTTTGCTGCCAAAAACCATCAAATTCAAACTGCACAATCATCATCTACTTGGCCACAACTATAGGTTGCCACAAAAAGAGGGTGAAAGATGGACCTGTCAGTATTGTTTTAAAAAGGTGGCGGCAGAGTATGGGAGTTACAAATGTTTGCATTCGGACTGTAATTATATTCTCCATGTGAGTTGCGTAAAAAAGAATAAAGGTCGTCTTTATATTGAAGTTGAGTCAGAAAATGAGGAACGCGATGATGAGGCTTCTTCTTCTTCTTCTTCTGCTAGTTGTGCTGTGGTACTAGGAGACAAGACAAAGCATTTCAGTCACAAGCATAAGGAAAGTAATGATGAGGTTTCTTCTTCTTCTAGTTGTGCTGTGGTGCTAGGAGACAAGATAAAGCATTTCAGTCACATGCATGAATTAGTGCGTGATAACAAGGAGATTATTATGAATGGTGATGAAGAATGTTGCGATGGGTGTGCATTGCCAATCTTAACTGCCGCTTACAGTTGTCCACAATCAGAGTGTAATTTCTCCCTTCACAAGGCCTGTGCCCAAATTGGAGAGCACAAACCACATTGGGCTTTCCAAGATCCTCTTCGAGTCAGCATGGGGTGCCATTTCAGATGTCGATTTTGTAAGTATGACTGCAGCGGTTTTTATTGCATTGAAGATGGTATTCGCCTCAGAGGTAGTGAGATCCCTTTCATCACTACCCATGAAGCACATGCTCAGCATTCCCTCTTCTGTGATCGAGATCACAAGGGACCATGTAGTGGCTGCGGTAAAGAAATGGGTGATTATGGTGGTTACAGATGCACGCTAGCAGAAAAAGAGGAGAATTGCAAATTTTTTACCTTGGACTACAGATGCCTGACACGGCCCCTTGAAGTTCAACATAGGTTCCACCATCACCCTCTAAAACTCACTTATGAAGATCCTTACAAGGATGATGATGGTGATCCATTTCAACACATGTGTGAAATCTGTGAAGATAGAAGAGATCCAAAGCTCTGGTTTTATCGGTGTGATGAGTGCAATTTTGATGCTCATCCCGATTGCATTTTCGGTGAAGAAAAAGATGGTATTTGCCTCAGATGTATCGAGATCCCTTTCATCATTACCCATGAAACACATGCTCAGCATTTCCTCTTCTGTGATCCAGATCACAAGGGACCATGTAGTGGCTGCGGCAAAGAAATGGGTGATTATGGTGGTTACAGATGCACGCTAGCAGAAGAAGAGGAGAATTGCAAATTTTTTGCCTTGGACTACGAATGCCTGACACGGCCCCTTACAGCTCAACATAGGTTCCACCATCACCTTACAGCTCAACATAGGTTCCACCATCACCCTCTAAAACTCACTTATCAAGATCCAAGGGAGGCTGATGGTGATCCTTCTCAACACATATGTGACATCTGTGAAGATAGAAGAGATCCAAAGCATTGGTTTTTTCGGTGTGATAAGTGCGATTTTGATGTTCATCCCGATTGCGTTCTTGGTGAATTTCCTTTTATCAAGCGCGGGAGCCTTTCTGAATATTTTAGATGTGATTCTCATAAACGACCTCTCTTACATTTCCAGAGTGAGGAACATCCCTATCCGAAATGTGTTGGATGTGGCCATCCTTGCGAAGATCAACTGGCTCTTAAATGTCCACACTCTGAATGCAACTTTACTCTGCATTTGAATTTGGACTGCTACAATTCTCGAGCAAAGGTAATTGCAAATTCTTTAATTTATATCCTTTATTGGCCGTCATTTGATTTGAATCAGTTAAATATCAATTTTAGTCA